CAGCTGGCATTCGATTCGACATTTGCAATTTTATTTTGGTAGATACGTTTGTACAAATACGATGTATTTTCAAAGAGCAAACATGTCAAAGAAAAAAGTCTTCAAAGCCCTTTGATAGATTTTCTATTGCATCGATGCATATAGCACATACACACATTTATAGAAGAGGGATCTAGGGGCTTGTAAAAGTTTTTTTTTTACAATTAATATATCTCCAGATCCACTGATTACATTGCTACGAAAACAAAAATTTTAATTCCTTTTCCCCCAAGTTAATATATTTCATTTAAACCATTCCAAGTTTGAGAAATGTAATAATTTGCATAAATAAAATTCAATTTAACCGAATTTCAGTCATTCCATATTTTCGTCACGGTATCCTAATACTTTTTTTAATAAAAGTTTATTCACATATTAGAAAAATCCCTCAGATTTTGTTGGATATTCGTCTCAAAAGAAAAGGCCGATCAAAAGAATTACTTTCATTTCACTCAACCCCCATAAAACAGGTGAAGACATTAAAAAGAAAATAACTGCCTTTCACGTGGCCAAGCCGGATAATGAAATTTACACCCCTGTGCTTTTATTTTTCATTCGATAAACAAGTGCGTTCATTATTTTGGCATCAGTGGCGAAAAGAACTTTCGGATGGGATTTTGTAATAAACACATAGAAAACGAGCTAGTAATTATATGCTCAAAAATAGAAAATGATAAATTTTTTAACTATCTATTTTGAGCATTTTGTATGTCATCATTTAGCAATTTCAAATTTGCACAATTTGAGTTCGTAGGTCACGTGACTAACTGCATTAGATTGGATTTATGTTTTAATTCTTATTTTAAAGCTTTTTTTCTGATTTGAGCTTGCTGAATAATGGCACACATAAGTGGCGAAACGTACAAAATGAATATTAAAGAAAAGACAACGTACAAAAGAATATTAAATATTAAATTTAAATTTTGATTAATCATTTTGGAGTTAGTTAATGGAAATAAAGTAGTAAACTAAACTAAACAATGAACTTATAAGAGTTGACAATTATTAAATGTCCCTACTGATCAACCTAATCCTAAAATTTTTACTATCAATTATAACAATGTTTGTCTGATATAAATAAAAATAGAGAATTTTAATTGGCTGACTTTTGGTAATTATTCTGATTTTTAAGCTTTTCTTACCCTACTCTAAAAATAATCAATATATTTAGTAAGTTATTAAATATATTTTGCAAAAAACATCAATGATACTCTGCTAGGAATCGCGAAAATTGTCCTTTCCTTCGATAGATTTTCAGCTCTCGCTCCATTACCTTTTTCCCCGATACGGTCGTTGTCATGGCGACCTGCGAAAGTTTGAGCTTTGAGCCGAAAGCTCGCCCGAGGCGTTGGGTTACCCGAAGAAGATCTTTGCGGGATGAGAAAGTAAGAAAATTCCCATCTGCTACTTCGAAGGGTTGACTCAAAACAAGATCAAGCGTGAATGTTACATTACCGAGTCGACGGTTTTGCTTGACTGAACCGATATCGGGGTTTTATGTGTACATAGAAGTGAATTAACAACAAAAGTTTCACGTTTGAAAGTGGAGGCGTTTTAGGTAAATGAAGTTTAAGTTTTAAAGTTTTATCAGTTGTTTCAACACTACAGCATATTAAAAAAATATAAATGGGATAGAGCGATAAAGGGTCAAACACCATTATCTCAAAAATAATTAGAGTACAGAATTTTTAACAATACTATTTTAAAGAACAAGACAAAAAATGTATAAGCAGCCATCACCTTAATATAACTGTATAAATACTGAATGTTGAATTTGACCTTTTTGCCCAGCCCTAGCCTATATTTATTTCATGTGAAAGTTGCTTTTTTGGGTTTCATTTGGAAATAATTTATCTGACAGTTTGTTTTTTCTATATCTGTGCGTTACGTTCTTTTATATAGAATTAAATTATAAAAATTGTAATTAATATATTTATTTTACACGTATAAATCCCAAAAATAATTACTTCGTTATCTATCCCAACCCATTTATTATTGTGTAACAAAGCTCACCATCCAGGCTAATTATTTCATTTGAGATGAATAAAAATGTCGCAACATAAATGGAATCGGTGGTAACTGAGAAGAGCGAGCAAAGGGGCTAATTACTACTAATTAGTGTCGGAGTTAATCAAGCTTTTCCGTTTCATAATAAAGATTTATAATTCGTTCCCGAGGTATAAATTACTACAGCTAATTCTTGCTGTCGCCGTGCTCGCATCGGCCTTGGAGATGAAAAAACATAAAAAGAGTAGAGAAATTGCTTTTGAGAGTTTTTATAAAAGTGTAAGAGATCATGGAAAAAGTTTGATAATTTTTATAAATGGAAAGGCACAAGTTATACGCTGTAGCTTTTAGAGGAAATAAATGGATACGCAGTTGGAGACTGTTTTCTGTACGCCTGGAGATAAAACTTGAAGAATTTTCGTTTGACTTTAGAACAATTTTCAAGATAACAATTATTTCTATGTACGTGGAATAACCTGTCTTAAATTTGTCATTTGATTATCAAAATAGATTATGACTTTAAATCGATGCAATATTTATCTATTTAAACATAAAAATAAGTTTAAAAAAACAATCTGACTCTAATTTGAGTTATTTCACAAGTCATCTAAATCCTTCACAAGTACCATGCGATATTAACAAATCGAGATTATAATTTTCATATGTAGTAAAAACAAATCTAATACAATTCCTATCCCAAGGATAATGATGGAAAGCTTAAGTACCGTAATTCCTTGCGATAGTAAAGTTGCAGTAATCATACACTTTTGCTTATGACGGTTCCAATAAAGAGAAACACAAATAAATTTATTCAGTGTCAATAAAAAATTTATAGATTTTGTAGGTAAAAGAGTTCTATTGAATCGTAACAGTCACAGAACACAAAAGCAATAAAATTAGGAATGTATGAGGCAACCTTTGAATAAAATGTATACGTTTATACGAGGCGTGCAAGTGTTAGACAGTCATGACCTATAGTAGAGCATATGAAAATAGGGCGAAGGTCGAGAATATTAGATAAAGTATCATTAATTAATTGGATTTAGTTTTTTCAAGGTTAAAAAACATAAAAGATTCATGACTAAGCGAGTTAGAATTATGCAAGAATTTCTATGAAATTTCTTTTTCAATATAAATTCACTAATAAATAAAATATTTAATGGTTTTTTATGAAAAACATATTTTTTCTCATTTTTTAAAAATGGTATTCTAACCTACTTAAATGAATGAACTTGATTTGACAAAATGCGTATATTTTGTCTTTCAAGGGTTGGAATAAAATGTGACAATTTTCTGAGCATTACGTTGCACTTAAAACAAAAAAATATGCTAAAGTCAGATATCCAATAAATAAAATTAATAAATTTTATTTATTATTCAACTGTGAGACTTTCTCATATTGATGATTTTGTCACACGAAATTCAATATAAAAAAAGGATTACGCAAGTTTTTGTTTGTACATGCAAAAAGATATTCCTTCGATGCAAAACGAATTGCCACACTTGAAGAAATCTGTAAATGCATTATTACATAAATCTGTTTGACATTCTACGGTCTCGATTATATTGCGTCTTAATTGTTACTTCAAATATTTCATCCTGAGATGGAATTTTTTTATTTGCAATAAAAGATTTCTATAGTCTAAAAAAATTGAGCTGAGGTGTTTTTTTATATTGCATTTTATAAATAAAATGCAAGTTAAATCTTTAACGCAAAATTGATAAATCGTAAAAATATTCATTAGGCAAAAATTATAATTTTATGCATTTTTGTAATATACTTCTAATTCAGTTTAAATTTATGAATGGCTTTTGTTGTTTTTATCAATTTTGTGTCTCTTAGATTTCATTCATTATGCAGAATTATGAAAATAGAATATTTATAGAAATCCACAAAATTTTAATTAATTGAATATGTTATTTTAATTATATTGCTAATGTGTTGGAAATAATAAAAAATGGATTTTATATAATTTATTAAATATCCAATGCATTTAAATAGTAACACTACAATGTGAAAATAAAGTAGAAGAAATATCCTATATCTCAGTTTTGATATTTTCCAAAGGTACAATAATAAATTGACCAGCGATACGATTTCAGTATGTCATATATTGAGTTATTGTCCCATATCTCAATTTTGAAACTTCCAAAAGGTACAATAATAAATTGAACCGAATTTGTAAGCGATACTATTTCAGTATTTCATAAAAAGAATTTATCTCCTTCACATCTCATAAATTTCGAATCCTCACGGTGATACATGTAGGCCCGGCTCTCATATTTCAAACCCAGCTCAGTTTACTTAAATAATTCATAATGCAATACGATATCCTAAATTGCATAAGAACACTGCTTATTGAAAATGTGAGTAATATTTTTGTTAATTTACATACAATAATTCGTTAAGACAATAATGTTTAAAGACGTAGCGAAAATTATATAGTGATTTTATACGACATAAAATTAGCATTGTTCTGCTAAGTTGGTTTGTAAACAAAATGAACTTGTCATGAGACAAATTGCAGTTGAAAATAAATATGAGAGAACAACAGATATTTAATTAAAAAATAAATAAGCTAACGTTTTTTTGCATTTACATTACCTACTTATAATGAGTCTTATATTATAACTATTTGGTTAAAAATCTGAACACAAAGTTTGTACACAGTTTGTGTTATAAAAAATCTTTTTAGCTTAAGTAAATTACACTCAAAAAATTATTTAAATTTTTTGTGTATGCAGTAACACTTCCTAATTATCGACACCTCATTAAGCACACTAAATATCGCCGCAACACGCACATTTGACCATAAAATTTGGTTGGTAAAACAAGAAGGATGCACTAGTAAAAATGAGAGACACTTAATACAGTAAAGGATTAAAAGTAACGAAACACTAAAAAGGAGTTTAGGGTATACTATTTTTATTCATTATAATTGTTGATCTCTTACCTTGTAATTTATTTTAACGACTACTAAACGTCTGTTGGCACTAGCTCCTTCTGGCACTACTAGTTTTTAAAAATATCTTTCCAAACGTCACGTGCTCACCACGAAAGTCGAGTGTAGAATGATGCGCGTCACCCGCGTCGCTCGCCTTTATACCGGTTCGCTACCCTCCTCGCGATCGCGGAGAGAGGGAACCCGATTCGAGCTTTGATATCGGCCCGATTGGGTCCGCGGTCTTGGGTCCCCGGGACCCGGAGAGCATCGCCTTGGAAGTAGTGTTAGAACCAAATATCGAGTACTGAGTAAATATCGATACTTTGCTATGAGTACTTCTGCTATCGATTTTTTAGCTCGATCTATTTGCCAATATCGATTCTTTTCGTCGATAGTACTCAAAAAGAATCGACAGCGTAATCTATGAACACCACTCATCGACCAACTATTAACACCACTCATTGCCAAATGCAAAGCAATAGTCTCCCTAGGTGGTCATAATTGTTCAAAGAAGTGTCAAAAAATGATCCCGAAGGGTCATTAGTCTCAGAATTTATTGCTCAAAAACCCAAAATGGATATGACCACACTAATAAATAAAGATGTTTATTTATTACTCTTATGTAAAATGAAAAAATAAAATGATTTAAAGTACCTTAAATGTTTTATAAAAGCATATTCAACAATCGAAGTATGATTATTTCAAATAATAATACTTACCAATTTCAATATATTAGTATTTTACGTAAAAAAAATCAAAATATAATTATTTCAAATAATAATATTCATCAATTTCATTATATTAGTATTTTGTGTTTATTATATTTTAAAATATAAATATATTTTTTTTATATATATTGAAATGGTTGAGTGTTATTATTCAAAATCATATATTTCGATTCTTTTTTACGCAAAATACTCATGTATTGAAATTTTTTAATATCAGCATGCAAACATATGGGTTCGAGTTTCTCGGAACAATTTAAACTTTAAATCCCATCGCTCCGAAGGGATGTTTTTCAAGTGCCGAAATATTATTTTAACCGTCATTAAACTGAATGTTTATTGCTTTCCAAAGAGCTTCATATTGAACTTTTATGTAAACATGTAACGGCTTTTAAAGTTACATGCTCGCTAAAATTATTCATATAAAAATATTCAACAATTATAAAATATTATTTTACTTAAAAATATTAAAAATATTATTGTACTTAAAAATACTTAAAAATGATTAAAATTGCATTTTGAATATAGTATCAGGCTATTATATTGTTTTAATCAAAAATACTCAACTATTATAACTTGTATTTTTTTTTGAAGAAGTATAGAATGTGAAATTAGTATTGAAAAATTACTGTTAACATTTTACAATATTGAAAATGATTTTGATTTAACACATCAGATACAAACAATAGAATTCATTCTAATATTGTGATATGATATTTAATGAGTTTTAGATCTTTCTTGCACTTTTTTTATGAAAAGTACTCAAAATTCGACATTGAGTACTATCGATACTTTCGCCACGATATTTTTTTGGCATCGATATTTTGATTAGATACTTTTCAAAGTACTCAATATCGATCTTTTGCCTCGATACTTCTAACACTACTTGGAAGATGGAAGAAATTACTGGGTGCTAGGTTTTCTCGATGCGATTGTAGCTGCATCTGTAGTAGGTGAAGTCTCTCGGAGCATCTTCACTTGATCGTAATATAAGGTTGAGTTTGCCGTTTGTTTCGACGGGTGAATGTATATTTACACTTGCAAGGAACACCTAAGGGCGATAGATGCATCATCAATAAAGTCACGAGGCGTCATATGTTTGTTAAGATAATATGATTGATCAACTTGTATACTGACATGTTGCCAATTTATATATATATATATATATATATATATATATATATATATATATATGCGCACCCATTATGAATATTTGTGAATTTTTTGCTCCCAGGGGCTCAAATACTTCCAATATGATAAAAACACCTTGAAAGTTTTAGCTCTCAATATTAACTTTAAGATAGTTTGCTTCCCAACCAATGTTCTTTATCGAAACAACAGGGGGTAGAATTCCATTTGTTTTTCAGAATTTTATAATTTAGCGACAAGTAAATCAAAATTTTGAGAATAACATTATATTTGCTTATTTTGATCACAAAGAAAAAATATAAAAACAATTTTATAAAATAAGTATTCATTTGGGAAGAAGATCCAAGAAATTTTGGTTCCGACTATCTTAAAGTTAATATTAAGAACTATTTGGGAGCATTTGAGCTTCTGAGAGCAAAGAAATTCGAAAATATCCATATTAAGGGCCACCCCAATTTAACTTTCAGTCGAATTTTTCCTCTTTAAAATCCAAAAATTCTACTAATGAGTTACCGACTCAGTTTATAAAGTTAAATATATTGGTAGAAAAATGGTACAACATCTTTTTAACTCAAAAATTCTAAACCATATGGAACTATATTCTCTTAGCATATGATTAATCTCAAGCGTTCCTTTAACAATGATCTTATCATTTTATATAAAATAAATTTGTTGGTCTTAGAAGATTTACTGAATTGTGTTTTATTTTTATGAATTACTTATACATATATAAAAACCATATATATCTAAAATTTTATTTACATGGCGTTTTCAATTTGACTTTTAAAATCATTGCCTTTTTTTCTCTTTGACGGTTATATATAAAATGTCGAAGAAACAACGAATTTTCTCGTTAGTTTTACTTTTCTCTATTTATAAATATATACAGAAGCTAGTTTTAAAATATTATTTATATGAAAATATTGATTTAGTTTAAAAAAAACAAGTATATATTTATTAATTGACAAAGCCACTGAAATTTCTGTTATTAATTATTATTATTACAGAGGGCCAATAACGAACACATACAGTTTAAACAAATTGCTTCCGAGGAATTTTGCAACCGCGCCACAATTGATTTATTAGTAAATAATAATTATATCAAATAATTAAAATGTTTCGCGATTACAAATGTTTATGCCTGGCCAATATTTATTATGCATACTGCCATATATTTTTCAACAAATCGTTTCGGTATCAGGAATTATTAACAGAATATACTGCAGGAATAATACGCTTCAGTGTACCAAAATTAAATAGCTTTAAAATATTTATTTATTTTGTACATAGATGTACTGATAGAGGAATGAATGCATTTTAATAATATAACATTAATGATGGATATAAAAGACTTGAATCGTTTTCTGTAATAAAAAATTAATGGAACTTGAACATCGTATTATATTTGATACCTTTCGTATTAGTTTCATCGACTAAAGTGTGAATAGTACGAGAAATTTTCTATATATTCATTTTGAAGCTAGAAAATCTACTTATTAAATCAAAAATAAGCTTCGAATGTCTTCTAATCTTTTCTCGATTCCATTACCATATTTTGTTCATAAATAATTACTACCCAATTCCTTTCCTGCCTCAAAATAAATAACTTTGACTAATGGCAATCGGTTGATGGATCGGTAAAAACAAAGTACCTGACCTGGCCCGAGATAACATGAGTTATGTTGTCACGTTTTAAACGTGGAAGCAACTTGCTTGTAGGAAATACGGAAATGACTGCAGAACCGATGATTATTTTGTACAAAGTTTAGTAGTTAATGTTTGTTATGACTAATAACAAATTATCCTGCAGGTAAAAAACAATTGGACTGCTCAAAACGTTATCGGTAAATATGTAAACCTTGGTCGAAAAATGCGAAGATAATCAGAGTTTTGTTTATAATAATCATATATTTATTAAATATTGATATGTGAAATAAGCGTTATCTACTCTGACATGCGGACGTGTAATCAATTATTTATAAATTGCCTAGTTGGAAATATTTATCGGTTTACAAAACTAATTATTCGTGAGAGATTAAACTTACTACTAGACACATAATAAATTGTATTAGAATTTGCTTATTATTTATTAGATTGATTATATATATATATATATATATATATATATATATATATACAAAGTCAACGCGTTAACGACCATCGCCACGACGAACCCATGTATATATATATATATATATATATATATATATAATATAAACTTTTGAATAATTGTAAAACGTTTGGCACCTTATATCTTGGTATTTAATTATCAAATAGTTACTTTTTTATTTATATTTAAACAGCAATCAAAACTATGTGTTCTGTAAGCAGATGTGATTTATATTCCTGAAGCTTGTGTTTTCACAAGGCAACCCAGTGGTTGACTGTTTTTTTCTGATGATATTATTATATTAGATCCAATGCCCGAAAGACTATTTATACTTGGATGTCATATTTGACATCTATAATTTCAAGTGAAAATTTGATGTCACTGTTGTTTGGTATCAAGCTGGTCAAATTGGATATCATTGAAACGGGAGTTTTTGATTTAGATCAGTTAATTACATAATGTTCATTAGATATTCTGAATGAGCTTTTAATAAAAGTTCATTCCATAAGTATAAATTTTATAAATACTCAAAACAATTTTCATAAATTACTGCTCGTTACGAGAAGCTTAAGTAATTTGCTGAAAAGCACAATGTCATTTCCAATATTTTATTATTTATTAGGATGATTTGGTGAATTGATCAATTTTAAATAGGAATATGAATTATCCATTATCAATTATCAATTTCATAAGATATGGCTCCATTTACAGTTTCTGGAATCAGTACCATATTATCAGAAAGTGCACTTAATTTGATGAATGAAGTCACAATCACTAGATGATAACCGATAAAACCAGATATAATTTGATCGAAACAAATCTCGGCAAAAACAGCAATTTGAAGTATATTATCTTCAGTACGTCCTAAATATTGAATTGGCTTCATTACCGTTTGCTGTTCGCCTATTGCGGTAAATCTCGGTAATGATAGAGCTGATAGAAGACTTATAAAATACTTGATACAACATTAAAAAAGATACAAAGACGAGTAAAATTTCAAAACTAAATTGTTGCTTAAGTTACTGGTTTTGGAAAATAATATAAGGTAAAATTTGATAAATAAGTTTTCCAAACCTGCATACATAGTGCATATATTGATTACCGTTGGCATCGGCGTCGACACCAATTTTGTCC